TGGGGGACCCACAGAGGGCCCTTCCAACCCCTGCCATGCTGGGATTCTGGGATTCTGTGGGGGGAGTTTCAGGAAAACAGGGAGAAGTGGTGTCAACAGTAACCCCAGTAAGAGTCCTCAGTTCCCTAGCCAGCCCTGGAAAGTATTCCCTTCCTTTCATCAGCTGCTGAGGGGTAGCGAATGCGGTAAAAAGGGGTAGCAAACGTGGTAAAATGGCTTCTCGAAGAGCAGGGAGAATATTACCCCAAAGGTGATGCCCCGGATATGTGGCGCAAAGGTTTCCCCGGGGAAGACCCTGACCAGAAGCGCAGAGGACTGGTTTTGCTGGTTCAGTGGTAACTGGGGGCTCCTGTCGTCCAGCTCCATCCCTGGCGCACGAAGGTCTGTGAAGCTGCTCTGAAGGCTTTGCTAGAACTTAGCCCGTCGATTGGGCTCCTTACTCTTTGGTTTGCAAAGAGTAAGGCTGATCTGTGATGTGGCCACTGGGAAGATTTTAATTAGTTTGCAGCTCCCTTCAGACCACCTCTGCGTGGTTCGAAGGTGATACGTGGGTCTAAATGTCAGACACTGGAGTGAGAGCATCGCCAGAAGCGCTTTAACCAGCGCTATTTTGATCCAGTGCGAACACAGCTCGGGTTGAAGCATGAAGGAGTGAGATGAGAAGAAGAGAGAAAGCGAGACCCTTCCTGTGTGTGAACTGGCCTGGGTTTTTTGCCGCAGTGGTGATGCAGGTGCCCACGTTCTCGTTCATCGATGGTGTGAGCGCCGTTTGCCGGGCGCCGTGACCCGGTCTCTTCTCCGAGGGCCTGCAGGCTGGGCTCTGCCGGCGTCCACCACGGTGCCTGCGCTCCGGCCGACTGTTCCCGGGTGTTGGTTTCGTTAGGTTTCCCGTGGGGAGCAGCCGTTCCGCGCCTACGACGTCGCCCTGAGCGAGGTCTTGGAAAGTACGCAATGTGCAAAACCGCGGCCGCTCAAAGTCGCTTTAAAGCTGGGTCCAGCACCCGCTGCCGGTGGTGGGCTCAGATTTACATCCCCCAGCAGGTGGGGGATTTGCCTTTGACACAAAGACCCCGCTGTTCTTCTATTAACGATCTATTAGTGGACGCGCTGGCAGCTTGCTAACCTTGCGAAACAGGTGGTGAATTTCCCTGCCTGCTGACATCTAGGAATCCCCTCCCGTCTCCTTTGGTGAGCTCCCTTTTTTTTCGGTAGCTGCAGCTGTTTGCCGTAGATCTCAGCCTTTTTCTTTTCCTTTTTTCTCCTTTGCTGGAGCTTAGCAGCGAGCCTCTTGAGTCGGCCAAGAGAGCGTCCCACCGGTGGGCCTGTCGAGAGGAAGACTCCAGGTCTGCTGTGGGTCGGTGTGCTGTCGAGTGATCGTTTTGTAGGATTACACATGTTTGTGACTGCTGGAAAGTCTACAGAGCTTGAGGGTCTCAAATTTGGGATTTCTTCCAGGCTGGCATTGAGGGCTTATGTGCTCTTCTTGACGGTAGCTGGGGAGCTGGCGCTCGGCGATGCGAGGAGCCCGTGTCCCTGGCAGAGGACCGGGCCCCGGACAGATTGTCTCAATGACAATCCCAGGCAAATCCGCATCAGTGCTGGTCGTTAAGAGCCAGCCCTTCGCAGAGCAGTGCGGGCGCCGGAGACGCGACGGACCTCGCAAGCGAGTATGCTGTTAAGGTCTGCGTTGCTCCCAAGGAGGCCGAGGGGATTCCATGCCCCCCAAGCGCGTTGTCAGGACAGTCCCTGAGCCGCAGAGCGCTTTGGCAAGGGCAGGACTTCGCACCGCAGCACGGCTCTGGGTCTCGGCCGTGGTTCGGCTTCGTTCTCGGTGTTGGGGCAGCAACCCCGGCGTGAGGAGCTGATGAATGCGGGGAAAGCTGCACGGGCAGCTCCGCTGGCAGAGCAGCTGATGTGCGGGGACGGTCTTAAGTCGCCTCTGTTCTAATTAAATGCTCCTGGTTTTAATCTCACCGGGCTCCTGGAGGGACGCGGGGAGGGAGCCGAGAGCCAGCTCCACGTTGCAGGTCAGCAGCCCGGCAAGGGGCTCTGCCGGTGAGCCCTCCTTGAGCAGCCATGGCTTACTTTGCCAAAGGCACCCCTTTTTTTGTTTCCCCTAGTCTGATAACACTATTGACTGTCCGTGCTAGATCTTTGCCAGCAGAACAGCAGTTTAAGGATAATTCTCTTCTATCCCGATTAAACTTTTTAGGAGTCCTTGAGCACAGTTCAGGTAGCTATAAGGTTTTAGAGGCTGTATGGCTTCCGAAATGCGCAGATGGATTTTGCTTTGGGTAGCCTGTATGGTTTTCTAGCCTCTTGGCTTTGCACTTGGTGTTTCTGCAGGTCCGTGGGAGCTTGAAGCGCGGCCTGGGTTGTGCTCAGCTGGCACGCGTCGTGTTTGTGTTTGCGTTCGGATGCACGGGACCGGCGCTTGCTTTTTTTGGAGTTAAACGCACCTGGCTTCTGCACAGACTGTGTGTGCCAGGTTTGAGTAACCGAGAGTCAACGTGGCCTCGCAATTTGGGTGCTACTCCTGGAAAGGCTGGAAGGGCGCTGGTAAGGTAGAGGCGGATTCGCGGGTGGGAAGGGTTCGGTTGATGAGCCTCTCGCAGTTTTGCCAGGCTCTGCTGTCGTGATGGCTGTGTCTCTCCCCTTCGAAGAAATCATTCAGCTTGATAGAATTGGACGTACAATACGGATATTTTTAGGGTTATTGTGAGGAGATATTCTGGTTGTCCTAGAAAAAGGAGCCGGGCTGGAGGTAAGGAGCAGAGCGAGCTCTCTGAACGGGGTGCACGCTGAGAGCAGGCTCCAGCCGCAGCAGCACAGCTCCGGCAAGTTTCGGATCAAACCGGCGCGTTACGAACGGCGTTCAATGCTCCGCTGTGTCTGAAGGAGCTGCCGTGCAGTCGGAGTTTAGATTTGCAGTATGGATGAGAAAGGTACCCGGGGTCTGTGTGCCCGATCCTCTCTGTGCACGAGGCCAGGGCGCGTGGTTGTGGTTGATGCTCAGCGCAGAAGCCGTGTGCGGGGCTGGGTCCTCCTGCAGCCCTTCCAGGGGTGAGAAGAAAAACCTGCTGCTGCTCCATTTGGTGCGTGCTTGGAGCCTCTGAGACCTGGGGTCTTTTACTCATGATGCAAGAGGAAAATTGCTGCCCTTGGAAGAGCAGAAAGAACATGGGAAAGCTTGGAGGAGGGCAGACAGGAATGGCTGTAGCGATCGTTCCTGGCTCGCACGGCCTTTGTGCAAGGAAGGTGTTTGCTTCGCCTGGGGACTCCTCCGAGATGTTGATGTGATTTATGCCAGCACAATCCAGTGGCAAGGGGAGAAGTTACTTATTTTCTCAGGTGGTCAGAGGCTGGAGGAGCAGTGCATTTGCTCCACTTTGTGATCATTTTGTTTCGACGTAGCTTCTGTAGCCGGAGAGAGCAGTGGTTCTGGGGCAGAGCAGGGTTAGGGTGCCTGTACCAGCACCACTTCAGACTGAAAAAGGACACATATTATTTGTCAGGGCTTGGTCCAGGCTTTGAAAAATTGGTACCAAGCATACATCTTGTTTTCGCAGACTCTCATGTAAGCTTGCCCTGAGACACCCCGAGGGAGAGAGAACTTCATGCACACCAGCACGGGGATTCTTAGAGCAAAGACATCTCGGCATTTTATGCCCAGAAATCTGTACGGCTTATAATTTCAAGGAAATAAAGATTATTCCTTGGAAAATCAGGTAGTGGCTACTAAATGTTAGGACTGACAAGAGGCCTGGATTTGACTCGGGCTGCTGAGGTGCTTGCTTTTGGGCTGGCCCCTCGGAGCGGCCCTGCCGCAGGTTGGCCGGAGCGTTGCTGTCGGTAACGACGCTGCCGTCGCTTGTTCCCTGCTGACGGCTGTGGAAGCTCTGCCCCGTCCTCAGACTTCAGCTTTCTGCGAGCAGAGCGGCTTTGCTGTTGCCTTTCGTTGCTGAACCCCAGGTTATTGCCTCACCGTTTGAGCTCGGTTGTGAACAGACGAATGTAGGTTAGGTGTGAATGGGAGTGACCGATAAAAATAACGTCGGGCTAATTGGAAATTGGAGGGGGGAACCAGCCCCTGACCCGCTGCTCGTGCTGCGCACAGCTCGGCGCCGGAGGCAGCTGCTCTCGGCCTCTCGGGGCGGGGGCGGGGGGGCC